AGAGCTGGAGGTTAATGTTGGCGACTTTGAAGACAGGGAAGCCGCTTGTGCTCCATAGGCGGGGCTGGGCTTCTTTTGGGCATGGATTGGCATCTGCTCTGCCGATCGTCGTGATCAGTTGCATGGGAAGAGTGAGAGGGTTGCTCCCCACTCTTCATCTCTAGCCCCTTGAACCTTTCCACCAACTTCTCCACCGATTGGCTATGGGCTGCAGACAGGTACTTCCATTCTTCAGAGTCCTCAGTAGTTATCGATTTCTTGACTCTCAAGCACCTCGGGGAGTGTGATTCTAGAGAGATTCCTTCTTGTAAAGCAACTTCGGACACTTTTGAAGAACTTGCTTTTGGCAGGGTCGTCTCGAGGGGTTTGGAGTCTTCACTGGGCAGGATCCACTCTGAAGATCAGATCAGCTCCTGTATTTTGGGTCTCGCCCCCAGCTGTAAGGCCTGGGAAGATTCCTTCTCCACTGGTGCGCTGGCTTGCGCTCCTCCACTGAGACGGCAGCCACAGCCATGGTGCTGGATACAGGCATTTCTTCCTTCTCCATGTTGATATCTTCCCCAATTCTTTGTCAGCTTGTCCCTCAACTTAGGGACAGTGACTGGAGCTCAGGAGCCCAATGTGGTTAAGATAGAAAATGCTAGTTTTGGGATTAATGTCATGATTCCGATAGATTAACCCCTTCAAAGAACTTTGAGGCATTGTTTTCCTTAAGGAATCTTTTATTCAGGAAACAAAGTATCGGCACTACATAGTTGAGCCCAAAAACTAAATTCCCTTCCCCCTGATACAAAGTAACAAACTGCAATTCCCACCCCCAATAAACTGTCATAAATCACATTCCCCTATTATCTTAAAGCGCGGGCTTTTTATGGGGAATAGAAATATAATGAAATGAGGTTAATACTACAGTCTGGATAAATCGGAAAACCATGAAAACTGTTAAAATTTCACATCTGAAAGAGTATTGATGAAATTATAAGAAAATAATTCTCTGCTTTAAAAGTTGGGGAAAAAATAGCTACTAATATCTAGTGGCGATTAAAGCATAAAACTATAGCTGCATTGATTTGAAATTGGCAAGATGCCCAGAATAGAGAACAACTTGTTCCTTTGAACTTCAGTGACTTCTAAATAAACAGAAAGCAGCTGGGAACAAAGGAAAGAAAATATACTGGGCTATCTACTACAGAGTGAGAACTATATTTATTTAGAAACTGTTGACCTTCTGGGATTATAAATACACTGAGCTGCAGTTTTCAAGCTCAAGAACTGTTTGCAGAAAAAGAAAAACCTTGACTTTTGGCTAATCTTCTAAGGGGGTTGTTACTGGAAAGCTTTCAGGTGGTTAAATTCTGGACTGAAATCTTGGTTGATTGATAATTGTAAGACCCCTGAACAGAAGAACTGATACAAAATACTGCTTTCAATGGTGCTTTGATAATTGGAAACGTACTGGAGTATAAAAACCATATATAAAGATAAGAACTAGGTAAGATTTTATTGTTTGGATTTTAAGTGGCTGTTTTGACAAGGCTAATCAAAGAGACTATGGTACCCGTGAAAAACTATCTGGGGGGGGGAGACAAAATGGATGTTGTACATCTATCTAAAAGTGACAGGAAACAACACCTAATACTCCCTCCTGAAAATCTCATCCTGGAATATCAGAGTTCTGCAGGAGCAATGACTCAAGACAAAGCAAACACATTTCAGGAGAAAATGTATGCAATGCTGTGACAGATTCAAATGACAATTGTTTCAAATCATGAGGAGATCAAAAACAACTTTGATGATATAAATGAGCATATCTCCAACTTAAACTTACAATTAAAAAACTCAAATATGACAATAAAGAATGAAGAAACAAATCAGATAATAGAACACAGACCAGAGGAAAGTGATTTAAATATGGAAGCTACAAATGAAGAGAACTGCAACTTAATACAAACAAAAGAAAATCTGCAAGACTTTACTACAACAAAGGAAATAAAAAAGATGTTTTATCTTCCAGGACTTCAAAACAAACTTGAGGACAAGAAAGAAGATCTAACAAAATGAATTAAAAAGCTGTCAGGAAAATCATTAAAGTTGGGAGACAAAAAATGAATATCCTACTTAATTTGTCTTTTTTATCCCCAACAATATCTACAAAAATGCAGCAAAAATCCCCTCGCAAGCTGAACATACTGAATTGGAAAGCGACCTGGCAAAAGAAGAGGGCTAGAGTCAGATTTAAGAGACTTGATTCGACTTACCAGATGGAGTACTATATGATTAAACACTTGTTTGAAAACGGTTAAAAGAACAGATAAAGTTTAGATATAAAGGGGATTTACAGTAAGAGGAATAAAATATATAAGTAGTATAATATTTTTCACAATACATGAAATGTAAAAATATTGGGATGGTGTATGTGAATGAAAAGTTTGGATATTTAAAAATAATTAATATTGAGAAAATTATGACTGATAAGAGCGGTTTGAATACAGTGGGGAAATTAAGCTTAAATAAGAATTTTGAAAACAAGACACATAATGACTTAATAAGATGACTTTTATAAATACAATTGAAATATAACCGATTAAAAAAGATATTATATGTTGATGTTATTGTTCGTTGTACAAATACTAGAAAAATGTTTATCCTCAACCTTGTATATATCAAAAATATTAAGAATTATATTTGTTTAATGCAGACAAAAGGAGAATACTACTGGAAGAAAAGAAATCAAGGAAATATATCATTGACTAACATTAATTATATAAATTAATGATTATTGATTGTTTTTAAATATATGAACTCAGACAACACAGTTTGCTAAACACTAGGGATTATTATTGTAAAAAATCAATAAAATATAATACAAAAAAAAGATTGTTCACCAACATGCTAAACAAATCACATATGCAGTCCATAAGCAAACTATAATCACAATTCAACATTTATAGCTGTTGTTTTACTTTGACAGTACTCCTGTTGCTATTAATCAGCCGTATTTCCACATGACAGTGTTTCAAACTTTATTACAGTAAATATTTATCTAAATAATTTTTATGTAGCTGGCAGGAAGTTGAAACAATGGCTTTCTAAAATATTTCAAAAAGATAAAGTAAATTCCATATAGACCTAGTTTTTTAACTTCTGTCTTTACTGACTTATACTTAACTTTAGAAAATGTCTAATTTATTGCTCTTGTTTGGTAAGTAGCTATAAGTAGAATTACTTTACTGTTTCAGCTTCTTTCCTAAACTTACAGTATCTCTCTAGCCTCCTCTAATCAAAGAGCAAAGGTATCTTCTTTCTGAGATTCAGAGGTATTTCTACTTAAGTTTAATTCTTTGATGATGATCAAATATACTTTGATCATCTAATATCTTCATTCAAATAATCAGAATTCAATTCAATATTCCAAAGTATGCACATGCATTTTATCTTCCCTTCACATACGCAAATCAATTAGGAATTGAAACTTCACCATATTCCCACAATGGGAATTGTGTCTTCAGGAAAGCAACTAAGGCAGCATTTCTTATTATGTTTTTTTTAAAAAAATAACTGTTTTCATCTCATTTGAATGTAAAAGAAAGACCTGACTGATTCAATATAAAGGGAGGGACAAAGCAGTACAAAAACTGCTTTCAATTAAATGAAACTCATACATATTTCAGTATCTCAGATATGATCCTGTAAATGTTCTTACTGCCATCACTATTGGTTTTTTAAATAATAACATTTATATCAATTTATATCAATATCAAATAACATTTTAACAATTACTTTTATCTCACATTCATTCTTTCATGTGTTTCTTTTTTGCTATTTATTTTATTGTGTACTTAGGGAAATTTTGAAAATGGATCCTTTATCTTTTATAATTTCTTTAAATTTTGGGTCTGAACCAATTTAGTTCATAGATTTAAAAAAACAAAGTATAATTCCAGAAATACTATGCATCCCATTTTGTATTAAAGTAAAACTTCCACTACCCTGTCATCTATATATTGAAGGAGACTTTATTTGGAAGAATCCTTGAGATATAAGTCTATTTATATCTTGATTTATAAGGCCTGAGCGTATGGATTTTTTTTCATTGAATAATCTGATTGTCAAAATTGTATTATATAATATATTAATCTTGCACATAGTATCCTAAGAATTTCAGATGTAAGAGATAATAGTTTATCTATTATGGCTGCACTTCTGGTTACAAATATATTCAAAAACTGCTAACTCTGCAGATGCCAGGAAAATGGCTGAATGAGACTAAGTAATAATCTATGATATGTAGGTGCTTTTTTATGCTAGTATAGGAATATAGATACCCACTTCTAATAGTGGCTGCCCCTTTCAAATTGGATGCTTAAGTTTGCTTTTTAAAAATTGTATTCCCATTGTGTCAGGGATTTTAAAAGAAGGAAAGTCCCTCTGTTAGTGTCAACATCCCTTTATAAGCATTGTTCACTTTTGAGTGTGAGTGGGTGGGGATTTGTTTTTACATAACTCCCAAGATTTTGTAAAATATTTTCATTTCTTCTCTTCTACATGATCTTTTTTATGTTATATTTATATTAGTATTTTTTGTTTCTAATTTAAATTTTTCAACTGATTTTAGTATAGTTTATTGCAATGATTTAAAGGAAGAAAAAGGAACATATCAATGTCTACAGATCTAGAAATTTATTTAATGAAATAAAATATGCTGTGCATAATTTTGTTCAAGTGGCCTCATTTAGTTCACATGAAAAGGAAATAACAATTCTGTTATTTGTGTGAAGTAATTGAAGTATCATGTCACAAAATGGATTCTATATAACCTTAATCTTTGATAATAGTTTTCTGAAAGCCAGTTTTATTACAAAAAGTACATTTGTTTTATTATGGAATGCTGTAAGGTTAGGCATAATTGAATAATAGAAATATATTTACTAACTTACCCTACTTACTGATGCTCAAATAATTCATCATTTAATAATTCCCCCATCCCTCCCTTTTTCCAGATCATCTGATAAAGAGTACTCAGAAGACTCTCTGAGAGAACTCAGGAGGACTTGGGAGGACTACAGTTCAGGAAACAAGTGGAAAGTATCTGCAAAGACCTTCTATGTAGGACAGGCCACAGTTGCATTACAGTGGAGCCGAGGTAGATCTGGGACATTGCCCAATGATTACAGATATTCACAGGAAAATGTAAATGAGAAAAGCAAAGATTATGGTGCTTTGCCTCTTGCTATTTCTGGACTACAAATATCAGATAAGAATCAGCACTTTTTAACACATATCAAAGCAGAAGAAAATTTACAGGGGAATTCTAAGAATAAGAAACATGGCTCTTTTCCTCAGAGGCTACCCGCACCCAAACGAGATAAGAAACATGAGCGACAGGATAGCTTTTCAGCTTCACTTGCTTCAGAATCTTTGCTGACAGTGCTCAACAGATCAGCCCAAACTTCCCCTGCTGCTACCAATATAGTAGTAGACAGCTCGTCACCTTCTCAGGTTTCTGCAAAAAATTATGGAAAATTTGTAAGTGCAGAGCTACCAGAGACTGGGAAGTTGGCATCCACAGAAAATGTTTTTCAGCATTTAGAACAAAAAAGACATCTCAAATCTGAACCTCCCCTTCCTTCAGCTTATTGTTACCATCTAAAATCTAGAATGGAAACATCAAGATCCCCTTCACCACAGTTTGCTCCACCAAAGCTGACTGATAAGCCACCTGTGGCTGCTCAGGATGAAAATTTCACAAGGTAAGCCACCTTACACAAACGGTTAAACATTTGTCACGTTTTATTGTTGGATTTTTTTCACCAGTTTAATATTAAGGTTTCCAGCCACTGTCCCTACATGATTTTAGCAGTTTAATGTTAAGCTTCCTAGACAGTTTTAGAACCAGATTATTTTACCTCAGCAAAAATTATATACAATTTATTTATTTCTGCTTTTAAACTGAATTCAGTGCAACATGCTTAAATTACAAGTGAATCTCATTAACAGTTCTTGAAAATAAAGATAGTCATCCAATGACTCTATGACTAATTAAAGAATAGTCCCCTTTTCAGGTGCCCTGCCATTCTGGTGGAGGGGGGAGGAGAATGCTTTTGGGAAGCATTCTTTGCATACTTTCGTTTTGCTGTAATGCTGTAGTGCTTTGGAATTAGGGAAGGGGATCATCTTTGGAGACAGCAGGACTCCCTCCAGCTGATTCCAGCCTGACTCCAAGGCCACTGCACCTTGAAGATGACCTGATATCTGTCATGTGCTTTGGTGTTCTCAAAACAATCTTGCGGCACTATATTGACTGCCAGTGGACTGGTCAAGGGAGTTTCAAAGTGGTTTCAAAGTAGGAAGAATAGCTTGGTATTTTGCATGAGAATGTTAGATTCTGCTTGACTTTGCTGCAAACACTGTCTTTCAGTAAAAGTTCTTTTGATTAACCACATGGAATCAAGAGTCGTACTTTCCTGAGAGGGCCAGTTGAGGCAAGTCCTTACATTAAGCGGAATCTGCAATAGTGGTCAACATGGAGAAGCACCCACCTCTACCATGGGGACCATGCAATGTCTGCAAAAGGCAGCAACCAAGAGGAAGCTGAGTGCTGGGGGGAAGCCTCTGCCAAGGCTAACCTCGGGGCAGACCTCTCTGGCTGGATGGAAGAGGTTGCTAGCCTAGGAGATTCATCAAAATCCAGGTGATTCATTGGTGTTGGGAAAAAGGATGACTGGGAAGGGAGAACTAAAAAAGTGACTCTCATCTGAGCCGAGACACCTGACGACGCAAGTGGCGAATGGAGCTGGAAGAGCTTAAAATTGAAAAAGAAGAAAGTGGCAAAGTCAATCACACCAACTTCCTCATGAAGTAAGCCATGCGCACCATGATGGAAGCATTCCAAAGCCTCAAGGCACACGAGATCCTAGCCAGGCAACTTCTGGGAAAACTCATCAAACCCGAGAGGAGGAGGATGGCAGGGTAGCTTCACCACTAGACACCATTGCAGGGGTCTCAGCAACACCAGCCAGAGCAGCTGCAATTTTGGAAGCAGTGCAGGGTGGGGTCATGCCAGAACCACTGCACTGGGAGGTGCTGGAGTTACAAACCCACAAAGAAGAAAAGCCCCATTGCTGTGTGTGAACTTTGACAGGGACTCCCAGCAGCTGATATTCTTCCTGGCCTATGTGCTAACCTACATTCAGGAGTACAGGCCAGATATCCCTACCGAAAGTGCCAAGATGAGGTGTGTTACATTATCTTTGGAAGAAGCAGCTTCCCATTGGATGGTAACCCTCCACAACGCGAATGCTCCTGATTTGAGGAACTGTGATTGTTTTATGACCGTGCTCCATCATCAGTTTGTGGACCCTTTCACTGATAAAAAAAGCCAGAGACCACATCAAAACCGTAAGGCAAGGGCATGGAGCAGTAGCAGAATACACCAAAGAGTTCCGTGACCTGGCTTATTGATTTGATTGGCTAGAAGACATCAGCTGTTTTAAAGAATGATGACCTATACAATGCTTGTGTGGTGAGAGGACCCCCTGCAACCCTGTACAGCTAAAGAGGTGGAAAATGACCAAGCCCACAAGAAACACCAAGCGGTGAGGTCCTGGAAGAAATCCCCTCTAGAGATAAGAGAAACGGCAAAACCTCAACCTTCACAAGCCAGATCAAGGCTTGCTTAAAATATGGCCAAGAGGGTCATCAAGCCACTGAATGCAAAATGGGCTGTCCAGCCAAGAATGCCAGCCCAAACCCCACAGGGAAACCCTCTAAGGTGCAAACACGGGCCAAAGAAATGGCGCTGAAAGGAGTGAAGGTTGTGGAGTTCACTCCCTCACCTAAAAGAGCAGAGGGAACTCTGACCCCACCAGAGGATGGCCAGGGGTTCACAGATACTGACTCAGATGACGACCCCCTGGTAAATGACCCAATCATGCTAGTGATGGTCTGTATAAAACTGAGCTTCCCTGGGTCCAGGTTGAAGGCTAACCTCAGAGCCCTATTAGATTTGGGTTGCACCAGATGCTTAGTAAATCCAGCACTGGTCGAGAAGCTGGAAATTTGAGACGATTAAAAGTCCCAGTGGCATTTTGTCAAGTGGACAGTTCGGTCACAAGGGGCATCCCAGCCACTTCTGCCACCAAACCCATAAGAATACAAATGGGGCTCATTCAAAAATTATGAGCTTCATAGTAGCACCTGGAATGGAGAGAGCCCTAATTCTCAGGCTAGCTTGTCTAAAAAAGTGGAACCCTTATGTGAACTGGAGAAACAGACTACTAAAGTTTCAAATAAACTGTTCCTACCAAACTCGAAAGGAACCTATTAAGCCAACTACCCCAAAGTGCGAATTAGGGGCAATCATGCAAAGGAAGGACCTTCCTGTCATTCTCAAAAAGTATTGAGATCTCCGAGAGGTGTTTAGCGAGAAGAGTTTGGATGAATTTCCCTCTCATAGATCTACTGATTGTACTATAGAAATCCTGCCCATTGCCAAATTGCCAAAGCTGAAGCTATACTCAATGACCTCCAGAGAGCTAGAAGAATTTTGGTTATTCATTGATTAAAAACCTAGCCCAGGGCTTCATTCAACCAGCGCGGCCACTGGTGATGGCCCCAGTCCTGATCTGGGGAGAAAAAATGGGGCCCTTCGTCTATGCGTGGACTATAGAGGGTTAAATGCAGTGTGTGTGGAGAATGTTCCTAGCTCTGATGAAAGATATGCTGGCCCACTTTGCCAAATTCTTTACTAAACTGGATTTGCAGAAGGCATATTACGGCATGAGAATCAGAGAGGGAGGATGAATGGTAATGAACCTCTGGAACGCTTTCCTATCTGCTACTGTGTAGCAAGCAAACCACACACAAATGCAATAGGTTAGAATGCTCTCTATGGAGCAATGGTAGAAGGTCACCAGCAGTTTTTCATTCAGTTGTTGTTTCCTGAGAAGTCTCAAAAAATATAATCTCTGCTGGGCCTTCTTAACCAATGCTATAATATGAGCACTCCAGGTCAGGTCCTCCTTTATGGTAACACCCAGAAATCTAAAGCTTGCCACCCGCTCCACACAGTCCCTGCTGATGATCAGGGGCTGAATGTCTGATCTATTCCTCCTGTAATCTACTATAAACTCCTTGGTCTTAGTTGTGTTGAGAATCAAATTACTGTCTCTGCACCACAAGAGCAACCGCTCCACCTCATTCCAGTAGGCAGACTCATCCCCCTTGGAGATAAACCCCACCACTGTTGTATCATCCACAGATTTAACAATAATATTGCTGGGATGAATGGGAGTGCAGTCATACATGTAGAGGGTGTAAAGTAGAGGGCTCAACATACAGCTGAAGAGATATAGTTGCCTAATCTAACCCTCTGAGAGGGCCAGACAGGAAGTTCATAATCCAAAGGCAGATTGAATGTGAAAGTCCGAGATTGACAAGTTTAGACACCAGTGTGTATGGAAGAATTGTGTTAAATGCAGAGCTAAAATCCACAAAGAGCATCTTTACATAAGTCCCCTGCTGCTCCAGATGAGTCAGAGCAATATGGAGAGTGATGGCTATGGCCTCCTCTGTGGATCTTTTTGCTCTGTATGCAAATTGGTGACTGTCAATTGTGTATAGGAGGCAGGACACAGTGTGCCTGTGGACCAGTTTTTCAAAACACTTCATGATAATAGGGGTGAGTGCTACTGGTCTGTAATCACTGAGACTGTTAATAAAGGACTTCTTTGGTAATGGAACAATGATGGAAGTCTTCAGACAGGATGGAATAGTGGACTGGGATAGAGACTGATTAAAAATCTTGGTAAAGACCCCAGCCAACTGGTCTGCACAGTATTTAAGCACCTGGCCAGAAATGCCATCAGGTCTAGCAGCCATCCTCGAGTTCACAGCTCTCAAGGTACTCCTCACCTCATGCTTCTCTACGGTGAGGGGAGGGCTGCAGTGGACTAGTGCCTGTAACACAGCTGCCTCTGATGACTTCACTTTGAAGCAGGCAAAGAAATGATTCGTCTCCTCTGCCAATGAAATATCCCTGTCAACAGGAGTGATGTTATTGGGTCTATAGTTGGTGATTTGTTGGATCCCCTGCCACACCTGCCTCGCATCATTATTATGAAAATAATCTTCAATCTTCCTCTTATAATCTGCCTTAGACTGCTGAATGCATCTCTTCAGACTAGCTCTGGCAGCACTATATTTTTCCCCATCACCAGACCTAAAGGCATTGTTTCTGTCATGCATGCATATATGTATGTATGTATGCCGCAATACAATTGCTCCAAAGTGCAAGTAGTCAAGCCAGTGCTTCAATCCCATCAACTTGCTGCTCAGGTGACCACCCGAGCCCAGGGAAGGGAAAAAAAACTCCAGTACCAAAAGACGTGACCTTAGCCCTAAAAACAGCCCTAAAGAATAATAAATAGTTCCAGAATTAGGGAGGGAGATCATCTTCGGACACGGAATGGACTCCCTCCCAGCTGGTTCCAGCCTGACTCCAAGGCCACTGCACCTTGAAAATGACCCATTCTCAAAACAATTTTGTGGCACTGTTTGGACTGATCAGGGGGGTTGGGTTTCAGTAAAAGTTCTTTTAATTAACCACATGGAGTCAAGAGTCGTACTTTCCTGAGAGGGCCAGTTGGGGCAGGTCCTTACACATACGTTGTGATTGCATGTTCCCTTATTATCCTAAAACTGAATTTTCCGTTGAATATTTTGTGTATCACACATACAGCCATATTAATAAAATCCAAAGAAAACAGAATGCATATATCCAGTCTTACATATACTATTACAAACATTATTTGGATGTTTTCAAGCAGAGGTTCATACCTTTCTCACCATGGAAATCTGAGAGTTATTTTTATGAATGGTTGAAAATCGCTATCAATCGCTAGCAAAACAATGTTAATCTCTACATCTAACTTCTCTAAGTGAACAACTATATTTTTAGGATAGAAGATGAGGGAATCCTGTATTACAATGACAGTTCTTCGAACTTCATTTTATTGCCAACAGAACAGGACTTCCTAAAACAAAGACAGACTTAGAACTGCCGGTTTCTAAACATTTCTGTTCCCTTGGTAGCCAGATTAGCATAAAATACATAATATACAGCATATAATACAACAATTTCTTTCCTATTATGGCCAAAAATAGAGGATATTTAACATCAAAAACAATTAAAACAACTGCTAAGAAAAGTAGCTTTTCACTGGTACAAGTTAGCAGGATTTTATATGAAGGTATAGAGCCCCTGTTGTGCTGCCCTTCAAAGTCTTGCACACTGAATTTTAATTTGTGAATAATACAAATGGGCCATATTATTCATACTTTGTAAAGCCAATAAAGAAAATAGATATATCCAAGATGACCCAAGTCAAAATCCCCAATATATTCAGTCCAGCTGTCCCGGCACCCCTGCAGTCATGTAATCACAATCGGGGCACTTGGCAACCGACTTGCATTTACAATGGTTGTAGTATCCTGTGGACACATGATCACCATTTGCGACCTTTCTGGCAGGCTTCCCACAAGCAAGTCAATGGGGAGGGTGGCAAGGAAGGTTGCAAGTTGCTCCTGCCACCTCTTTTTTTCCTGAAAAGCTTGAACTCAACAGTATGAGATCCCAGGGACCTTGTACTACATAGTTTACACATGGCTACAGCATGCCCAGCCATGTTTATGCCAGGCTGCAGCAATCATTCCTCCTTGCCCAGCCATACTCATTAACTGTGTATCCTACTGCACTCATAGCAGCCAACTCTGCATATGGCCACACTCCTGCTGCACCTTGGCAGCCACTCCTTGCCTTTCCATTGGTATCTGTTGGCCTGTTTTCAAGATGCCAGAAACTCACTCCTTCCTGCCAGCTTTTTCATTGACTTTGCTTGTGGAAGCTGTCAAGAAGTTACAAATCACAGTCATGTGAGGTCTTTGCTTAATGACCTTGCTTAACAACAGCAATGGGGGCTGTCTGGATTGCTTTTGCTAAGCAATGGGATCACATGATGTTATTCTTTATGACTGCGTCATAATCCCAATTATGGGCTTTAAGTAAGGACTATGTATAATAAATGCCTTAAGTGAAGAATCTTCATTAGTCATTAGCTACAAATTTACCAAATGTTATGTCTCATGTGCCAATTCAAGTTTCATACTGATTTATAAATTGCTGTTCAATTATTTCACCAGTATATAATAAACCTAGCTTAAATTTTAGAAAACTTTGTTATAAACAATGAGAACCTTGTTTAGATTACAATAGTAATTTGCACATTATTGGAAAAAATTGTCACTGAACAGAGTAGATGTTTCTTCATATCAATATATGTGGGTTCAGTCAGTACATTTAGGCTTAATTTTTTGTTCACCTTTTTTAAAAGGAAAAAGCATGTTAAGTATCTTTAAAATTTCAGTTAAGTGCAGTTCTTTGTACATTTTATAACTTTAGTAACAATGGCTAGTGCTCAGTAGAAATAAGGATACTTGAAATATACATGGGTATGTGAAAAATGTTACTCATTCCTAAATTTATAAATAGGCTATTATTAATCTATATTTACATCAGTCAACAGAATGTTTACATAATACATGTAATATGCTATTTTAATTTTTTTCCAAAGAATTGAAAGAGTGATGGATAACAATACAACAGTAAAAATGGTTCCAATCAAGATTGTACATTCTGAGAGCCATTCAGAGAAGGCAAGCAGGCAGAATCTTGGCACTAGAATAGAGTCTCCTACTTTACGAAGCGGCTTTAAAAAAGACCAAATCAAGACACTTAGCACTTCTGAACAGTCCTATTCACGTTTTTGTGCTTATACAAGACCAGGTGTGGAAACTGACCTTGAGAACAAATCAAGCCTGTCTTCTTTGCAATCTGTTGAAAGTTTTGGGAGGAACATAAAGGAAAGTGACATATCCACCCATGCAGTTAATTGTGTGAGAGCCAAAGAAAGGACAATTGAGGACTGGAAATCAGAAGAATTAGCTAGAGAAATAGTGGATAAGAATAAATCATTAGCAGAAATTTTGGACCCAAATGTGAAAATAAAAACCACAATGGATTTAATGGAGGGAATCTTTCCCAAAGATGAATATTTCTTAGAACAAGCTCAACATCGCAGAAAATTTCTTTTAAAGGTTTCAGCAGCCAAAACTGAAGAGGAAAAGTAAGTACATATTTGTCCAACACAAATTAATGCTTTTATCTTTTTTTTAATCTTATATATGCACACATTCTATTTTAAGTTTTGTTTTATTAAAATATGTTATATAATCAAGACAAACTTAGCGAACATTCTTCCAATTCACACCCAGTTTTGGTTGGGATTTAGATTCTATTTTTTTTTAATATATTTTATTGATTTTTTAACATAGTCACTTTAATATTTGGTAAGCGGCATGTTGTCTGGGTTTACATTTAAAAACAATCCATAACAATTATTAGAGTTTTACAGCTTTCCAGTGCAAAATTAAGCCCAAAAAGTAAGCACGCATTCAAAATGAACAGGAGGAATAGTTTAGAAAAACGTTATCTATAAAATATATATAAACATGATACATACAATTTCATTCAGCTCTGGGGAACATGGTAGAGAACAACAAGTAACTCAGGAGATCAGGACACAGGGAGAGACTAAGACACGCCCAGACCTAGGCTGGATCACATGCTTCACACAACCAATACTGTACTGTGTCTTAATCAAAACAGTTCTCATTGGCTGGTTTGTTGCTATGGCTATTCCAGTTCATAAATTCTTAGACAATGACACTCCTCCTTTTATGACTGGAATAGACATAAAACCAAATAATTTAATACTCTACTCATGGTGTACTCCACCCAATGGCTTGGTCATTACATCTGAAGAACATTGTCATCTGAAGAACAATGAAGCAAGCGAATTAGTTTACTTTTGATGGCTTCTCTGACATTACAATACTTAATGTCCACATGCTTGCTTCTACTTTTCACTCTGTCACCTGTTGTCATTTTAATGCAAGCAGCATTATTTTTAAATACTGTTACAGCTTCTTTAACTTCTATGTTTAAATCCTTTAACAACTGTACATACCAGGTTACCGCTGAATAAAGTTCAGACAGGGCAATAAATTCTGCCTCCACAGTAGAAATAGCTACAGTTGTTTATTTTCTGGATTTCTATCCAATCAAAGTCCCTCCAAATAATATCACAAACCCAGAATTGGACTTTCTGGTTTGCACATCATTGGCACAATCACTGTCACCATAACATTTTAACTTTAATACTTCAGAGACCTGTATTTGAAAACCCAAATTTACAGTTCCCTTCAAATACCTGAGAATTCTCTTCACACCCATCCTGTGTAACTGCGTTGGTGCGGCAGTAAAGCGACTTAAGATGCTTACTGCACAAACTATGTCTGGTCTGGACCACTGTGACAAATATAATAGGCTTCCTATTACTGACTGATATATCTCCTGATCACAGGTTTCACTTTTGTCCTCACCCAAAGTGTTGTGAAAATCTATGGTCATAGGTGTTCGAGCAGAATTACAATCCTTCATGTTGTATTTCTCCAACAGCTGTTCAATTTTCCTTCTTTGACTGAGAACGTAGCCACCTTTCTCAGTTTTTTGTATCTCTACACCAAGATAGTTTTGTATTTCACCCAGACTTTTCAAATCAAATGTTTTTGCCAACTGATTAGCAAATTCCTTGACCTGTGCTAGATCCTTTGCAATGAAGCAAAGATCATCCACAAATGCTAATAATTGGCAATCCCCACCATGGAACCTTGCAGTATATATGCAATCATCAGCCTTACAACTCTTGAACCCAAGACCCTTCAATGCCACATCTAAACAGATGTTCCAGTTTCTGGCTGATTGCTTCAGCCCATAAATGGCCTTGTTCAGTTTATACACAGTGCCAGTTTTTTACTTTCATACCCTGGTGCTTGAACCATGTAAATTTCTTCCTCCAACTCTGCATTGAGGAATGCTGTAGTTATATCAAAGTGCCAAATTTTATGCCCACGTGCCATTGCCAATGCTAGTGCCAACCTTATAGTTTCACATTTTACTGTTGGAGCAAATACCTCATCATAGTGCACATTTTTCTTCTGCGAAAACCCCTGTGCCACTAATCTTGCCTTATATTGGACTTCATTGTTGGGTAACACTTTCTTTTTGTATAGCAATTTACAGCTTTGTAAGGTGAACACTTTATGTTCATCCATGGGTTTCATTTTTTTATCCATGACCTCTTTCCACTTCAATTGCTCCACTTTGGGTAGTGCCAATACTTCCTGATAGTTTCTTGGCTCATACCACACATTACACATCTTTACTTTCCCAGTAGAATACCTGTCAGGTGGAATTCCTTTGTTCCATCGCTCTGACCTGCATGGCATTGACTGCTCTTGACTGTCAGCCCTTTCCTGCTTCATATCACCATCTTTTTTGACTCCTTTTCTTGTCTTTTTTTAGCTTCTCCTCCCTGAATGCTGACACCATCACTAAGTGAGTCACCATCACTAAGTGGATCATCCCCAGAATTGGCATCAATTCTGCCCCAATTCTGTTCTGCAAAGCTAGCAGATCTGGAAATTACTATTCTTCTGCTCCCAACACTAAAGCGATAGCTTTTTGAGCTAAGCTCATAGTCCATAAACCTGAGCTTTCTAGCCTTTAGTTCCCCTTTTTTCCTAACTGCCTTTGGAATATGCCCCCTTGTATAGCTTCCAAACACCCTTAAATGTGCTAGAGATGGCTTTCTTTCATATAGCACAGCATATGGAGTATCATTTATAGAGAACTCCACAGCCTATTGACCAAATAATTGGCAGTCAACATGGCTTCGCCCAATACGACTTGCTTAGACCAGAATCCTCCAGCAGTGAGCCTTTCATGGTCTGCAAGACTTCATTCTGTCTTTCAGCCACGCCATTCTCAACTGCTGTGTACGGATTTGTACATACACAAACAGCTGGCATACCTGTTGCCTATATCTTCTTTCTGCGAAGCTCACCAATTGCTTGAACTTCTGCAGCACCTCTGGTTTGCTCTTTAGCAAATAACAGAAACCAAAACTGCTATGGTCATCTACAATGATCAGCGCATATCTGGTTCCTCCCATTGGTCCTACTAAATCTACATGTGCCAGCTCTAGAACCCTTGTTGTCTGCCTTGTGCTCTTCTTGCTCACGGGGAATACCTTAGATTTCAATGATTTACATACTGCACAGTCTAGGTATGCCTTGAACCCTTTTAAGGTTAATCCCTCTGCAAACTCTGGCATCCTTTGCAACACTCTGAAGCTGGCATGGCCAAGCTTTCTGTGCAAGAGATGAATGCATGAATCATGCTGTACCACATTACCAAATGTTTGTGCACATTGACTCTTTTGTGCCCACAACACATAAAGATTATCCTGTTTTATGCTCTGTGCACTTACATTTCCATTTCTTTTTATGAGACATTTCCCATTTACAAATGTGGTCTCAAATCCTTGTTTGTCAAGACTGGAGACACTCAGTAATTTATGCTCCATTTCAGGCACACTTAATACATATTAAACCTTTCCTCCAGACATGGAATCAGCACACTGCCTTTCCCCATGACTTTTGCCTTCTAGCCATTTGCTAAGGCCACTGCATCTCCTCCAGTTGAATCCAATCTGGAAAACAACTTAGAATTATTAACAATTGTTTGACTAGCCCCACTGTCTAGTAACCATTTATCTCTGCTATTACAATAGCTAACTTTTGCAACAGCAGCTTGTCCATGTGCTGTTGTTCTTGCTTGTAAACAGTCTTTCTTTAAATGAGTTTCAGCCCCACAAATGAAGCATTTCTTTTTCTCCTGTTCTTTCCTCTTGGTAATTCTCTGCTGAGATGTAATCTGATCTCTGCAGACAGTGGGTCTGGTGCTTTGCTCTCTCTGCTCCTTGGACCCCCACCTCAGGAATTTCTCCTCGTAACTTCATCCAAAATGGTGTTTCTGTTCTTCTGAAATCAAACAGGCTTTAAGCCCTTCCATACTTAATTCCTGTTCTGGTCTGCATTCATTCTGGCTTTGATGGATGCAACCAGGCTGCAGATCAGTGTCACCCTCCCACGAGCACCTCCAGCCTCACAGCCACAAGGCTTTTCTTTCACAGGGACAGCCCCCGCCTGCCCACATGAGATAGCAAGACGGTGGCAACATAGCAGTACTGGCAACCTCTCCCCCTCCCATCACCCCTTCCTGAGTGTGGAGGAAGGAAAGAGATAAGAAGGCGAAGCAAGGAATGGAGGGAGGAAGGGAGGGAGAGTGGGAGGGAGGGAAAAAAGAGAGGGAGGAACGGAAGGAGGAAGGAATGGAGAGTGGGAGGAAGGAATGGAGGAACAGAGAGGGAAAAAAGGGAAGGGGGAATGGAGGGAGGGAGGAATGGAAGAAGGAAGGAATGGAGAGAAGAAGGAATGGAGGGTGGGAGAGAGAGAAAAAGAAGGAAGGAAGGAAGGAAGGAAGGAAGGAAGGAAGGAAGGAAGGAAGGAAGGAAGGAAGGAAGGAGAGGCAACTTGGTTGGAGATGCCCCAGATCGTGCAGTTCTGCTTCAATTCTGGATCCACTGAGACTTGGGCTCAAAGGAGAAAGCAATTTTGTGTTCTCTTTTGTCACAGGCAGGACTTTATTGGCAATCCAAGTTAACACGGGTATTCTTGAACTGTGAACTCTTAGGAAACTATCCCTTCCTTGTATGTTGCAAACAGCCATTTCTAGTGGGGAAAATAGGACAAAGTAGAGTAGGGGAAAATATTTTTCTTTGCTATATTTCCAGTCTGAATTAGACCATGGCAGGGTCCCTGCAGGAGAGCTCTTTTAATGATTATGTATTAATAGAAAAGCAACTAACTTATCTCTGTTCCTAAATGCTAAAGCTGTTGCACATAAAAAACAGAGAAGCTCTGATCAACTATCACAGCTACCATTTTGACAGTTCTGCTATACTGTTGTTTGTGGATGCCCCCACTAAATGCAAGCATGGGATAAACTGAGCCTGGTTTGTTCTCAGTCTTTTAAGTGGCCACAGACGACTAGCAAAAGTGGCATTTGATCACAAGGCAAGGAGGCATCAAGAAATGTTTCCCCTTTTGCATTTGAGCATCCAAGAAGGGACAGGAAAGGAGAAAGGGAAAGAGGAGAGAC